TAAAATAAGACTAAAAAATAAGACAGGAACACTGCTTCTGAAGACTTTTTCAAGACTGTCAATTTTTTAATTTATGCTGATTTGAAAATTCAGGTTAAGACCAAATTGTTCCCCGTTTCCTGTAGAGATGCAAAGGCAGATTTCAGTTGATGCAAAGAGCACAAGAGCTACACAAGGGAAAAAAGAATAAGGAATAAGAATAAAAAAACTGCAAGAAAATCATAATATACTATCTGGGTATTCTTCAGTTGCATAAACAGATAGGGTGAGGTGAAAGAAACAGTCCTTGCTATTTTTTATAAATAGTTATATACATATAATATACAGTTTTTACTACTGTACTGTATGTTGACATAAGGTAAGTTTGAGCTCTTCCTTGCAGTTTTGTTGTCAGATGCATTTGCAGCTGAACTCAGCAGAGCTCAGTGGCTCTGGCAGGCGTGTCTGCGCAGGGTCGCAGGCGGGAGAGTGGGGAAGACACCTGTCAAATGCTGAGAGTCTTAAAGCAAACCATAAAGAATTTGCACTCTGTCCCAGGGTACAGAAAGGCAGTTCTGAGCCATACTGTAAAACAGCATGCCCATTACAAAGCACTGTTCTAATTGTATGTACTGTAGTGTAGATTCTGTGGGTTATGTGACAGATTATAAAACATAATATATTTAAGCACAATGCATTGGTGCCACAGCCATTTATCAATTACTTATCTGCTTACTTAGATGTTATCTGCTAGATTTTCCAATCAAATGTATTTATTTTCAATAATTTCTCAATCAAGATCATTTATGTGTTAAACCCAACATAAAAAGAAAGCACAGCTCCAGGAACGGCTTCTCTTGCAGTACTGAAGGAGAGCTGGTTCACATGACATTCTCCATGTTTTACAGACACCTGCTCACTGCATTTATATTGCATGTTCCAAAAAACACCCAAAACTGTGTATATCCAGACTGTAAATTAAAGACTGCAAGTCATACAAATCTTTGTGATGATAAAAATCCTTCAGTTACAAATAATTTAAAAAAATATTAGGGACTGAAAACGGAATGCTTAAAAAATAACCCTGTTATGTCACAAGCCAACATTAACCAGGAATCTCCAAGTATGGGATGCGCAACTGGCTCAGTGCCACCAGGGGTCAGTTTGGGATTAGCGAGCCAGGGCCTTTTCAGATCTCAATAAAATCATGACACCTGCAGGCTCCTAGCTTATGCTGACATCAGTGAGGGGTGAATCTCTCCTCTCACTGCAGTATTTTTCTGCAGCACTTGGAGTGTCAAGAGGTCAAGAGATGATCGGGTCAGAGGAGCCTGTCTGCCCTTGCACGTTTTCTCCATGTAGGCCCAGACAACACAACCAACATTTCCTAATTACACAAATATAGAGAAAAATAGGTAATTTTGAATATAACAATAAACATTAAATAAAACTTGTGAAGTCCAGGGAGGTGGTCAGCTAGGTATATTAGTTGCTGCTACACAGGAAATAGGCCCTAGGCAAGCTCTAAGCTGGCAAGCACAGCATACATTGTATCTGTCTGTAACAGAAGTGTGTGGCTGGACCTTATTTAAAATAGAAGCATAGTAGAAGTATTTGTTCAAAATTGTGACCACTCAGCTGTGATTCATGACAGTATTGGAAAAATGCCTTGAGTCCTTCTAATCCTAATAAGCAATTTTACACAGGAACCCCACAGTCCATGATGTTGAGCCGATAGCCCAACACAATAATATTATTTGACACTAAACACTTGCATTTATACAGTGCTTTTCTTTTCAAAGGATCCCAGAGCCATCTACATACATACAGGAGAACTTTTTCATCCACCACTGAAACCACTTGGGTGATGCATAGCACCTGTTCTGCACCAGAAGCCCCACTAGTCAGCAGATCAGGTGAAGAGCTGTGATATTATTTTGCCAATTGAAATAAAGGAGGATATTACTGAGGCTAGATTGTACGTGTCCAGATAGGAATTTACCCAAGATACACAAACAACAGGATGCTGGTTTAATGTCCCTCTGAAAGCATCTCTAACACCAAAGTGTCCCTGGTCATGGTGCAGAACCATTGGTTTAAAAAATCTAGTTCAGAGTGAAGAGCCCCACCAGATGTGGTCCACAGACTCCACTTATAATAGCTATCTGGTTTTCTTTAAAGGTCTGCAATCGCAGTACTGACCCAATATTGCTTAGCTTCTGAGATCTGACTCGATGAGGCTACGAGATGGTAAAACTGGTACTAAAGGGTAAATAAGGAATAAGGAAAATAGAAAATTAAAAAGCTAGGTTTTTTCATCACTTTGTCAATTGCAGTGAATATCAAAGGTACAATATACATTAACATTACAAGATGTGAGTATGTCAATGTATATCAAAGTAATTAAGCAAAATTGCTTTGTCCCTTGAACATAAATTAGCACATAAAACATGGAAGCAGCATGTCACTAAAGAGTAAATATAGTGTTGCATTGCTTCTGTCTTCACAAAGAACTAGTGAAATGCCTCATTGCATTACCCTTCTTTTGCTTAGAAAATCTTGGACAGAATCCCAGTAAACTTTCCTCAGAATCATTAATTTGTCTTATTATTAAGGCATACAGATGTCAAGGATGCACATTTTATAAATGATCTAGTCTTAATCCTAGGGTTATGTCATTATTTATTGGATGTTTGCTATCTCTGTTTTGTGTGAATGACAAAATAATTGGATAGATATTAAAGGACACCCCCCAGCTAAGAAACTAGCTGTTTACTTAGAAAAAATCAAATGCATACTTTAGATTTAAAGAGCACACATTTATCTCAATTGAATGTCCTCCTGACATGTAAATTTGTTTTACTTATAAACATGTCTTTTGAATTTTTTAAAACACCCACATCCAATACAATTTGTGCACTCTAAACCTTCTTTACCACTGAAGGTTGGTGTGAATGATCTCTCTCATTCAAGTGGCTGTTTGAACAGCTTAATATTTTGTTTACATCCGGGCTTTAGTTTCTTAAACGTTTTTAAGGATTTGCTAAGTGAAATAAAAATGGACAGGAAAAATTAAATTTTAACACTACTTTTTCTGCTTGCATGGAATGGTTGTATGGTGGCTAGCCCTGCGGTCCTGGGTTCAATTCTAGACAGACCATGGTGCAGAGGGTGCCTTTTTTGTCTGCATGCTCACAGTGGGTGAGCATGGTTTTTGTCAGATCCTACAGTAGTCACTCACTTTTCAAATACATGTTTTCTATGATAATAGAAATCTCTAAATTAGGTTCTAAAAGAACTTAAGTGTTCCCTGTGTGTAGCCATATCACCCTGCAACTCACAACTAGTAACCCACTGAAGCTCAGCAGGTGTGAACCTGGCCCGTACCTGGATGGGAGACCTCCTGGGAAAAACTAAGGTTGCTGCTGGAAGAGGAGTTAGTGGGGCCAGCAGGGGGTGCTCTCCCTGCATGTGGGTCCTAATGCCTCAGTATAGTGAAACAGGGACACACTGCCGTCCTTCAGATGAGACGTAAAACCAAGGTCCTGACTCTCTGTGGTCAATAAAAATCCCAGGGCGTGTCTCGAAAAGAGTATGGGTGTCACTGGTGTCCTGGCCAAATTTCCCAATGGTATCATACTACTGATACCATCTATGAATTGCATTCATTACTCTGTTCTCCTCTCCACTAATAGCTGATGTGTAGTGAGGGATCTGATGCACTATGGCTGCTGTCGCATCATCATGGTGGGGCTGCACATTGGTGGTGGTGGAGGGAAGTCCCCATTACCTCTAAAGCTCTTGGATTGGAGTGACCAGAAAAGCGCTATATAAGTGTAAGCAATTATTATTATTATGCCCTGCAACCCACTTGTATCCCCTCCAAGGTGTAATTTGCCCTGAGCTTCTGGGACAGGCTCTGGGCGCCACGATTCTTATCAGGAATAAGTAGCTCATTGATGATGGATGAGCAGTTTTTCCCCTGCCATTCAGGATACACTTTCTTTTCTAAGATATAGCACAAATTAACACTTTGTTAAAACATAGTGCTTCACACCTAAAAAATCAACGTGTCTGACAATTAATTAGAGTAAAATACATTCCTTAGTCACCTTAGTCTAAGTCAGCCTGTGAGAATTTATCTTAGACCTGGGACTTTAAGAAAATGATGTCTTTAAAAGTCATGTCTTTTCTGAGCTTGGAGATTGCAGAAGAACTCCTTATTAGAGGTGTGTCTGATTCCTTTGGTTTGTAGTTGTCCAACCTTCAAATCAAAGCACAACTTAACCCTATAGACACCCGGTAGCAGATTCTAGGTGTCAATGTTAATAAAATCAATTACTCATGTATTCAGATTACTGAACAAACTTCAAATCCAGAGGGCAACAAGTATAGGGGTAAGTATAAGGTTATTTAAGAAATTAAAGCAGGAGGTACAGTACTTCTGTACACAAACAGTTATAGGTTTCAGAACAAGCTACCCAACCATCGCTTGACAGTCAGATTTCACTGGGGATTACATAAGAAGCAGTCAATGACATCCTTGGATCAATAAGCCATAAGCAATTGGAGGAAGAAGACTGAATGAATAGCTTTCTTTCCTTTGTAACCTTCCTTATGTTCAAACTTTTTCCAACATCAGCTTTCTACCTTGTGGGATTAGGTCAGCTTCAAACAGACACAACCCAACTGAAACAAAGGCATATAATATAAGTAGAAGAAAATTATAATTGACAGTTACAGTTATAAATCATGGGCTTCCCTCTTGTTGTAAGTCTTAAAACAATATCAACAAATCTTGAAGCCCATAGAGAAACAAATATCCTTTACCAAACCATGTGTTCTCTCCAGCTGGGAAACCTGCCCCCTTCCAAGGTGGCACTGCTGTGTTTAAACACCATGTGATCTTCTGTACTGCAGTGATACCCTAGATCCAATACCTATTTAACTTGTCTGTCTGCCCAGTGGCCTGCAAGGCTTTAATGTGTACATAAAACAGCTGAGAAAGTTGCAGAACTCACCTGATTTGGAGAGAGAAATTCCTGGTTATTTTCATTCATGTACATGTTGTCACCATCAAACTGTAAACAGAAATAAAAATAATGTATATATGACGTTAGGTTTATAGGAAAGGAGAAAGAAAAAGCCTAAACATGAATCCAATTACTTTGACACATCTTCTCAACCTCAATTGCTCTCATAGATGTCAGCAATTAGAGTTCATTAGAACGAGATCTAATTAGATTGGTCAGGCTGGATAATGAACAGCAGTTTGCCCAACAGGATTGCACGGGGGCTCTAGTGCCTTGTCTCTCACAAGAATAGGTGAGAAGGCCAGCTGATTCAGCGCATTAATCATGCCAGGCAGAGACACTGCGGCCCTGAGAGGTGTAGAGTCAGGAAGGCCACAGGATTTCAACACTTTCTCACTCGGGTAGTCCTGAAAACACCAGAGTGTGACCAGGAGCAGGAAGGGGGAAGACAAACATGAGGGCCAATTTGCGCTGATGTGTGCGGCTCATGGCAGGAGTACAGAGTGAGAAAGAAAAGCCCTGATCTGCAACAGTTCAGAAGGCTTAAGCACACTGACCCTGAAAAGGGAACTGGCTGCTGTTACTGGCAGCTTGCTAAAAAGATATGGGGGGGGGGGGGGGGATTATAACCTCATTGAGGTGTCAAAAAGTCAGTCTTAATCTTCTTTGGGATTCTCCTTCATGACTGCCCTACAGAGAAAAAATAAAAATTCAGCTAAGCCAGCTGCACTGTCATGTGGTTTGTGAAAGAAAATGCTCTTGCTAACAATCAGCTCTTTTTTGATAATCAGTTTCACTATTCAGCCTTTTATTTTTTACAAAACACATTTTACAACCTCTTAAGCTTGTCAGTTGCTGTTTGTGATAAAATGAGAAGTTATTACTGGTTTTGCCTAACTTCATCATCCACTGTCCCTAGTCTTCATATTCTTTTATAGATAAATATTCTTTATTATTTTCTCCTTATCATTTTGTAAGGATCCATTAGTCCGTCTCAGAATAATTTCTTCCATACAGTAAAGGAAAATACAATCTATGATCTACCTGATATTTATTGACGGCAGATAAGCGTTTGTTATGCAAACTCTTAAAAGAGCTAAAAAATAATTTACAATCACAAAAGTCCTTGCTGTCATGGAGCCTGTATTGGTAAACATCCTACACTCTGATTAATATTGCTACTAACACTGCTACAACTTCTACTACTAATGTTATACTGAGTTACCAATGTACTCTCTCTGATCCTGAGGTCTAATTGTCACTCATCCAAGTCAAATACCAACATTGATTTCCTGTGATGGGCTGCTATCGCTAAAAGCATCAAAACCGACGGTTTCGTAAACACAGACAGATGCTGAATTTGAATCCCATAGTCCCTCCTCCTACAGTATTGAACATGGTGAAAAATCTTGACAGCTTTAAGCCAGCGTTTGCAAGCAAAATGAATAAACTAAAACCAATTGTATCATTAAATATTTTTAAAAGAATAGCATTCACAGTTTATGTAATAAGAAATAATTTGTTTTGCATATTGAAAAGAAAGAAAATGTTGTGGAGGGGAAGGAACTCCAATGATCAAACAATGGAGTAATCTTGTTGCGGCACTCACTTCTTCAAATCTCTTCTTCGGCTGACAGCCACTATGAGAACTGTGTTAACACCACATCTCTCTTCCTTAATCTCTAAATCACTTTCAAAGATAAAAGGAAGAATATAATCTGCACACTGAACAGATATTTAACTCTTAGCCATACAAAGTACTTTTATAATTTGTACAACTTTAACAACTATCTTCTCATCCTGATATAACTGTGTATATCTGTCAGTGCTATTTTACTACTAATATTGGTTGGCATTGTACTGCCGAGTTCATGGCTTGGATTAAGGTTTGTCAAGATAATTTATGGAAATCAAAAACAATGAAGACACTTTTCAAGAAGGGGAGAAAATGAGTCCATATTTCTAAAAGAGATTGCTCTGTCAAAAAAACAGACTTGAAGCGCTTAGGGGTGATGGTTTGTAATAACTATGAAACGTATAATTTGTGATACTGTAACACTGGAACTTGTACAATACCACAGAATGTAAACAAAAACTTAACTCACTTCTTATTTGCATTGTTTCAGGCTTAATACAAAAACCGTAAAAATGAGAAATGTCCAATTCTTCCGGAAAGTCGGCAATGAGATACAAAATAAAGTTACATATACAGTATTATGTTTCTCCCATATCAGTAAGGCCTACAACACATTAGTTCTTTAGAGCAAAGGACTGTTCCACATACACAGGCTTCACAATCCATTGTGGGATCACACATTCAGAAAAGTAAAAAACTGCACAGCTAAATAAATGAACAGCACAGAGCACCAGTCAAAGACACAATGAGAGAATGCTAAACAAAAGGCAGCAAACAAAAGCTATACTGGTAGCAACAAGAGGCTTATTCTAACTACTGACGCACATCTGACACCTAACACTCTGGTTTGCAAAACTACAAAAGCACAGTGCAGAAGATATAAATAGAATTGGTTTTGCATAAACTGAAGCCACCAGAAGTGATAAGTTGGTGGGACATGTTGTCATTGAGATCCTGGCAACAGATACACAATAGCAACACATGAGCCCCTCCCAACTCCACACCTCCAATGACTATCAGCATATCTTTGATACATACCTAAAAATTTACTCTACTTCGGGAGACTTCTGGGGTTTTCAGTGCACAGTAAACAACCAGAAAACAGGAAAGAGGTCTATCCATGGGAAACAGCAGTATTCCCTAAACACTGTGTAGCACAGTGCCAATCCCAAACTTCCAATAATTCCAGTATTCTTTTATGAATTATGAACATCTCCCGCTGACACAATACTGAGAAGCATAATTCAGCTTTAAAAAAAGGCAAAAAGTAGATTATATCTGCCTGTTACTGGAAAATTTAAAAAATGCACTAGTTTTTCACAGGCTGCAATTTTAAAAAGCTTCAGATTGCTTACTGCTAGACTTCCAGTTCATTAGCAATAATCTTGTACAGCAGAGCCTGTACCGCAAGTGCATGAGGTAGCCCCAAGGTCAGCAGTATTCAACTCATTCTGCATAACCATATTTTAGTATCAGATCTATAAACATCCAATGTATGTTCATGTAAATTTTGATAACTGAATTTTGAATACCACTCAGAACAAAATAGGAAAAATGGTTAATTTAATAATTTGTTCAGAATTAAAACATGGCTATGTGTGTAGGTTGTATACAGTATTCTCCCTGTTTTTACCAGTTATGCTGGTTCTTCCCACAGTCCAGGTTAATTGGCTTCTGGTAAAAACTGGCCCTGGTGTGAGTGTATCTGTGTGAGCCCTGCAGTGGACTCATGTCCCACGCAGGCTATATATCACCTTTGCCTGTTGCTTGCTGGAATAGGCTCTGGCTCCTCCATGACCCTGAATTAGATGAATTACAAAATGAATGAAGTACAAAATACCCATTTTGATGTACCACCCAGGGAAAATATTGAATTACTTGTAAAGGTATTTTGGATTTCTTTATGTTTAAAATTAACTTGTTTTAACTCATTCAGTTATGTTGCAATTATTACATAGTCTATTCAGAACCCCACTGCTCATACTGTACATACTGTAGGGTGTATATAAAGTGGTGTGGCCTGTTTGCACATCTGTGCACCATGTTGCAATAAAATCTGGCACAGATACAAAAGGGACAATGGAGAACAGATTCTCATGGAAAATACACACCAGAGGCCACGATGCTAATAGGCATTTGCAGCAATCTAGTGAGCAATGGTGAGTATACGCCCTATGGTGTGTATAGCCCTTGTCCATTGGAAGGTATCTCCCTTGGTTCCATCTATGGTTACCAAATCTTTATGCTCCATGGTGTATAGTTTTTACAATACAGATATTTGAACAAGGAAGACACAGTGGCACAGCCCTGAGTTCAATTCCTGACCTGGTGTGTTATCAGCATGGAGTATGTTTGTTCTCCCTGTGTTTGCATGGGTTTTCTCTGGGTGCTCTGGTTTCCTCCCATAGTCCTAAAACATACTGATAAGCTCATTAGAGTCTTGGAAAATAGCCCTAGTATGAGTGTGTGTGTGTGTGTTTGTGTGTGACCTGTGATGGACTAGTATACCTTGCCTTGTGCCCACTGCTTGTTGGGATAGGCTTCAGGTCCCCTGTAACACTGAACTGTTGGATGAAGTAATTAGAAAATGGATGGATATTTGAACAGGGCAACTAACTTTAGAATCAGCATTTATGTAAATCACATCCTTTTATGTGAACAGTTTATGAATGAGAGCCTTACAATAGGTTTTAAATTTCACCCTAAGTGCAACATTAGAAGAGCCATTAATATCCTCTGGGCAAGACACAACTAGAGACAAGACCTTACCCATAACCTTAGGATTGCCTGTCCTGCGGAATCACACAATCCTTACAATCAGATTGTTGCCGTAAGCTGAACAGGAATAATTCAGCAACAACCAGAAGTCATGGCTAAGGGAGCTCTCAGAAAGCCATTCATGATCTAAAGCTTGACATAAGTGAAGATAGTGAGGAGTGTGGCATAACACAAGTCTTGTTTTTTCTGCTCTGGCAAAGTAATCTCCTGAAATCTCTGCAGAATTAGAAAGCCAATGCAAAGGGCAGTTTGATTGTAAACATGTTCAAGCATGCTTGTGAAAGGAATAACAGGGTGCTGCTTAAACCAATGTCTTTTTTTATTCGCAGTCTTGCACTGAGTAAAACCCTGTAATTATTATTACAAATACTGGAACTACTATAGCTGAGATAATAAATAAGCATGGCATAATGCTAAATGAATTCATTTTGGGTGATTGTTTGATATGCATGATATGAAATGCAAAGTGCAAAACATTTCCATGCCAAATATAGAAGATATATTTGGAATATAAAATTTTGGCACAAACTCAAAATGATCATCCAACAGTTTCTCCTGTTTATATATTAAGAACATGTACAGTAACAGGCTTAGCGTAGTTTACCTGTTTTTATTTATTTAAGAAGAAATAAGG